ATTTTTCTTGCAGGGAGAATAATTCTAGTTCGAAGAAAAAATTATCTTTTTTTTTTTTTTTCTATTCACTTATTTAATATTCGTTTAAATATTAAAATAATTTAAATAACTGAAAACTATATTCTTCGATTATCTCTTCAATTTATCATTACTTCTTTAATTCATAAAAATGTAACGTTTTTTAAATAAGATCTTCTTGAACCTGAACTATATTAAAAAATTTACATTTTCCAAATTATATCATTCACCTATTTAACACGTTCACAAAAATTATCCAAAAAAAATCTCTCATTACGTCTTTTTCTACTAGATACTTGTCTCTCATTTAAAAGTTACTTAATATCCAGTCAATTTTATGAACGAAAGAGTTTCAATATCGTTCATTTAAAGCAGCCATCAAAACCGTATCGAATCCTATTCGTGAAATGATTAAATTCCATTTCGACGAGCGATAATCTCGATCGGTTTTAATCACGGTTTTTCGCTTACAGCCGTGTCGTTTCCGCTTGTCATCCACGGGCAAACGGCAATTTGGAATCTCTGGCTCGCATAAAACTCGCAAATGGTGTAGCATATGTGGGTATAACACTCCCCAACGTGTTGTATAAGGGTGTTGTCACCAGCCGGTGGCTGTGTCCGTTTTGTCATTGCAATTTGATGATCCAACGTCCCACTGGGGTTACATAAATATTTGTCTGGTAATCCCTTGTCTGAATCCACTTGCCTTCTCGACAGCGTAATCCCCTTTGTTCCAACTTTTATCCATCGCACCCTTTCGTTTCATTGCAGTCCTCGATCACGATACACGTTTTGGAATAAAAATGTTGGTCCTGTACTGTAACGAGGATGTGCGAGATTGTGTATGATGAATATCTAGTATTTTATTTTCTACGTACAATACGAAATGTTACACTTTTGTCTTTTGTATTCTTGATTTTCTTTTTTTTTTAAGTAAAGTTAGATGTAAAATTAGAATGTTATACTAAAATATTTTGGAAAAATTGTACAAATTGTATAAAATAATAAATAAGTTATAATAGTATAATTTCCTAAATAAAAAATTTGAAAAATTTCCAGTATTGATTTTTGAAGTGCAATAATGCTAAATTTTGAGTCAAAAAAATAGTTTAAAAAATAGTTATTATTCATCGAATGAAATTTAAGATTGTAGGTAATTAAATTACATTCATACAGTTATTCTTTTGCCTGTAATTCAATATATCATGATGATAAAAATTAATGATAGTAATAATAACTTTTTTAGAGTCATGGATAATAAAATCCGGGTCACAGATTTTACGCTAGATTAATTTCATTAACAAGATTCAACCCTTTCTACACCCTTGTTTTCCACAGACAACAGCAGGTATGGATTACCCTTTTGACAAGTGTAACAGATCCCCCCAAAATAATAAACAGGATTGTTACCATATGTAAAGAATATAGATGATGTCACGATGACAATGTGGATGAACAACTTATGTCGATCAATTTATCAATTTGATCATTTTTTCAATTTATCCATTATCCATTTATTATTAAAATTGTAAAATTGTATTTCTTGTGTATATATTAATATTTTCTAAAGATGTTACAATCAAGTTATCATATTTTCATCACATTTCCATAAAATATTTCTCTTCATTTTAAGATTTTCTGATATTTCATATTACCACTTTTTACTTTGTTTTCTTTTCTTCTATTTCAATGTTTTTCATATAAATATAATTTCAATATTATTTGCCAATAACAATAATATGATATAATACAGTGGCATATGTCAGTAAATTCTATAAATCCTCATCTAATCCCATTTAAAGCGATGATCATGTATAATGCAGTAACTTCATCTATCGGATACAGAGTCATTGAAACATGATTAATGGCTTTTATGTTTCTCTCGTCTTCTCTTAACGTTATGTATTCCCATAAGAGAATTATACCATGAGGATTTATATCGTATATCGACTCTATACAAATTCTGAATTTCATAGAATGAAACTATCTATCTAATATGAAATATTAAATACCATCAATATGTAGAAATATTGAATTTGAGAGGCTGAGAATTATAAAAGTATAAGCTCGACCATTAAAAAATTAAACTATGCTATAATAATTAAGTGCAAGAGATCGAAACTAGAGGATATAAAATTTTTCTTAAATCTTCAATTTATAAACTTCTCAAAACAATTTGCACGAATCACACCATTACTGTTCTCAATTCTCCATTTCTGAAAGACGGAGGGAAAAATTTAATATTGCATATTAAACCCGCCTAGACTTTAAAAATGCTACTATATGCACACCAGAATGAAATAAATAAAGCGAATCCATTATAAATCTTTCTGTTTCGGTCAAAGGATAAATCATTATCGTCAAATCAAAGAAGCAACGTTGGATCAAAAGTTTTTCGATAAATATTTCTTTTCACGACAAGTGGAAAAGTTGTAGAATTAATTTGATCGCGAGACCGGCACACGACTCTCCACGTCAAAGTGTCGTCGTTATCAACGTCCCGTTCACCTCTCAGCTGACATACAATAAATCGTGGATCGACATCCTGCCGCAAAAAAATCGCGCCAGAGCGAGAGAGAGAGTGGTCGTTCTCTCCTGCAATCTCCAGGAAAATGAACGCCATAAATAAGCACGGTCGGCCAATAATTCCGTCGCGATCGAGCAACAAGAGTTTTTCATCGGTGCAGTCAGAAAGGGGTGGCGGACACGAGTGGAACTAGCGATGGATGGAACCGACGCGATTCCTTCCTTGTTTCGTTTCCGTTTCAAACAATAGGTTCCTCTTAATTGCGATTAATATTATTGGTAAAATTTTAGAAATTTTAAATGGAAAAAAAATAAATCTTTCTTCGTAATAACAATAAAGAAATTTGAAACAAATGAAATTTCATAAATAAATCTCACAAATTAAAAGTTTATGTTAAGTTTGTCTCATACAATTTGTAAAATCGTAAAAATTGTTTATTGACCGATAATAATTGGCAGATTTATCGGTAAATTTATAAATATTATAATAATAAATTAATTAATAAATATAATACAATATGAAGATAAATTATTTAAATGAAAACATAGTAAATTTTTTATTACATATATATTTATGAATAATATTTGGAGATTTGTCTAGTAAAATTTACTTATAATTTTAAAATTTTAAAATTAAATTTAACTATTAAAAAAGTAAAAAAGAAAACCTATAATTTATAATATTTTAGAAATAGAATTAAAATGAGTTAAATTAAAGATCGATGAATTTTTTTTTCATATGAATATAAAAAGTGAAAGCTTAGGACAAATGGGTGTTGATCCCATCGCTAGCAACAAGGGCAAAAGTGCGATTGTAGCAGAGGTGGAGATGCCAATGGTAGGAGGATAGTACGACGTGTATTGTAATCAAATCTAAAATTCCCAGCGCGGAGGAACCCAATGAAAGAGTAACCAACGGACACAATCGAATCGGGCTACTAGCTTGTCACCTGACTTCAAATAAGCGACCACTGTCCTGTGCTCTCTACGTGCAGTTATCTGCACACCTTTAGCCTTCTTCCACTACCATTCGACCTCAGATTTCCCTCGGGATTGAGAATAAAAAAAATTATCGCACCCCTTTGCTTCCTTGAAACAACTCTCACTCCTCCAAAACTTCGAAAATTACAGAAAAGTTTATTTTCTTAATGATAAGAGAAAATATATTTTCGAAATTCGATCAAATATTTGTCCAATTAAATTTTACTTATTTTTCTTTTTATTTTAAAAGATTGAATGGAACAACAAGAATATATATATATATATCTTGAAAAAATAATTTGTGAATTAATATTTTCTTTATAATCTTTCATTAAAACTATGATATTATATCAATGTTGTTTCATTTAATCACTTATATTGGATAACGGTTAAATAATTAATGCATGTTTAAATAATTAATTGCATGTTTTAGGAATACTTTAGAAGATTACAAATAATACTTTAGAAGATTACGAAATAATAGATTCAAGAATGACTCAAAATTTCTTTCCATTTTAAGGAATCAAATTTTCGTTAATTTCACTGTTATCAAGAAATGTTTCAACATCAAAATATTCCGTCATATTAATATCAGAATATATATACCTTCTACTATGATATTAGTATGTAAGTATAAACAAGAAGAAGAAATAATGAAAGAAAGATAGAAATAAGAAATGAATTGGATAATCAGCGCTATCACAAAATTAATATAATATAAATAAAGAATATACAATAATATAAAGTAAGAAATAATTATAAGTGCTATCTTTTGAGTATCAAAAATATTTTTTCAAAAGCAGAATAATATAGATTAAGAAATAAGAATTAACGCCATCTTTTGAGATTTTAAAAAAACTTTTAGAAAAATGTCTTTGACATTCAAAAGATAACGTTGATAGTCAATTCTTACATGTTTCCTATTTGTTTTTTTTATTTGTATTAATTTCATCTATAACATTTTAGATGGCGCAGATTTTATAATTCGTTTTTTAAACATATTTTTTAAACATAACTTGTTTTTAATGAATTTATAGATATAGCATAATATATTTTAATAAAAAAACTATTAAATTATTTGACAAAAAATCAATAATTTCAGAGATATTTAATTATTATAAATAAATATTTCAAATTAATAATAATTTATATGCTTAAATATTTTTTTATAGAAAATAAAATATATCGATTTATGCAAAAATATATAACTCTATTTAAAAAAATAAAATTCTCTATGTATGATAAATATACGAAATATATGAAATATTCTAGATATAAAATTATGTGAAACAAACAAAAAATAATATCACTAAATAATTTTATAAAAAAATTAAAATTAAGTGATATTTATTATTTAGAAATATTAAATTTGTAAAATTTATATTAAAACTTTCAGAACATGTAATAAGCAATTTTTTACTTTTTTATATTTTAAAATAATATTTCGTACAATTGAATATTTTATACGATTTTTAATACATAAATCTTATTTTAGTAATGACCACTTGAGTTGTTCCTTTGCAGATTGCAAAACCTAGAACAAAAACAGAATATTTAATGACACAAATGAAAATCTTATAAAAAAGTGTTGATAATTCTGCCTTCTAGGATCACAAAAACTTACAATCAGAGACTGTGCGAAGAATGTAGAATGATGCATGAACACAAAGTAAAAAAATCGAAAATGTTTCTATGTGGTATAAATGGACATAAACTTTGCTATGCCATTAAATCAATAAATATACTATACCTAATACTAAATATTACCTGTGCAACTGTTTGTTCTCCAAGTGGAATGTCATCAGTTCTTAATGCCACCCTTTGAACTACACTTGTGGCATCAGCATCAAGAATTATTCTAAAAAAGATTATACATTTGTAATGCTCTTTTTATTAATGTTAATATTTCACTTCGATATATATACATTTTTATTTACCCTCCATCACAAATTTCATCCATTGCTAACATGACTATATCTAAGCTATCTAAAACAGCTTTTTTTTCAACATTTTTTCTTAAAATTTGACTTACTGAATCATATAAACAATTTAATACACTCATTAAAATCAACTAAAATAAAAATTAGAAATTACTTAGATAGAAATATTTAATCATTTAAATAGAAATATATTTTATCGTTAATATAAATAATATATACCTCATTTTCATGAGAACTTCCCATAACATAAAAATATAAGTCTACATTACTCCTATAAACACATGTTAAACCATCCAACATAATAATTTCTGCATTTGCTCTGTGTGTTTTGTTGAAAAGATTTTTTTCAAATGTCTTTTGCTCTTTTGATGTAGGAAATATATTTTTATCATAATATTTAGCTAATATTCTATTGCCATCATTGTCCAGAATGGCCATACCCTTGACAGTATAAAGTGTTGGTTCCTATAAATATAAATATTTTATATTAAAACAAAATTCATAAAAAAATCTTTCCCATGTATGCACCCATGTTGCACTCAAAATTTTGTTAATAATCACGCATGCTACAATGAATTAAAAGAGGTTAGGAAAACTTTCATTTAATCATTGTCTAAATAACAATAAGAAATGGGAACAAATATGGAAAATAACTTAAAATCAATAGAAATCATACGCGTTGCCGAAAATCGCGATCCTGGTCACTCTGAAGCATTGAAGAGAGGTTATGTTGCACGACTTTCGATGATCCAGCACGATTCATGATTATGATTGCACGAGACAATACTTACATCAAGAATATATTATTAAGAAGTGGACTTTGCTATGCAATTTATGTAAAAAAAAAAATTTTAAATGCACATTAAAACCTACCAATAACTGACCATCCATGTTTACATCAAACTTGACGTGTCAATATCCAGACAACTACATGAATTGGATTTTCCAATCGACTAATTCGATTATTTGATATATCGAAATAATTATAATATGATTTTTAATTTCTAAAGAATTATTATATTCAAATTAATCAAATATAGATTATTTAAATTATAAAATTAATAATTAAATATTCATTATTATTTAAATTTCATTATTATATAAAGAAACAATATTGTAATAAATTTGATATATCATTTATAAAATAAAATATAAAGTATTTAATTATATTTCAATTAAAAACATCATAAAAAGAATGATTAATGAAATAATAATTGTTTTGCAATAATTATATTTTTGGAGGAAAAATGGACATTTTTTATTTTATTTTTCAAATATATATATATATTTATTTTAATATATAATATATGAATTTATTAATAATAAATTATTAATTATAATAGATCTTTAAATTTATATACAACTAAATTGAAAGACATTCACTTTCCATTTGATTAAAAATTATTTTAATTTTTGACTTCTTTCCTTTTTATTACATCTGAATATTTTCGTAGAAATTCAGGTCCATCCCATTTGCCACTATAAATTATAATAATATTATAAATTGATAAAATTATATTCGTCCTTTTGTATAAGAATCGTGAATTCATTTTTATAAAAATTTAAATATTAATAATAAATTTACCGAGTCATTAAAGTCCAATATAAAAGCGGAAATATATAAGCTTTAAGTATAAATGTAAAAAAATATTCTCGGCCTTGATTTACTGGAAAAGTTTCCAATGGTTGTAAATTATAATCAAATTCTGCTAATATGCACTTTCTATAACCAGTAACTAAAGGACAGGATGAATAACCATTATAAGTCATAGTCATTGGTTTACCAGCTAAATCGTCCGTAATATTTTTATATAGTATTTTTCCTTGAGCCGCTATAAATAAAAAAATTTTAAATAATTTTTCATAATTATTAAAAAATTATATTATACCTATTGCTGCCATCGTCTTAGAATTTGGAGCGCTAATACAATCTCCGATTCCATATATATTCAAATACTTCGTGTGACGCAAAGTTTTAGGATCTACTGACAAAAATCCTACTTCATTCGTTAACGAAGGATGTTTTTTCAAAACATCAGGTGGACCCATTGGTGGGCATACATGAAGTAATGAATACTAAACAAAAATATGTCATGAGTTATAATTTATCTACTTATATATATATATATATATATATATATATATATATATATATATAT